GTCAAAGTAGGGAAGCGATGTCGTAATGAAGAAGCATGATGAGAGGCCAGGGATATAAACGTATGATATGAATGTGGAGTTGACACATTTGACGATGGTGTCCCAGGGAGCAGTATCGAAGACTGAAAAGGCAAGCCCCGAATACAGAAGTGCGGAGACAAAGAAAGGTAGAGGCTCCTGATTCAGGAACCGCTTCACTCTCATTACCATCTTTGTGGAGAAGCATGTATATCAAGAGATATTTTGGTCTCAAGGATTGGTTATAGGTGGAAGGTGTCGTAATTGAATATAAATATATGTAAAATCATCGTTTGTAGGAATTATTAAATTATATTTTATATTTTTAGATTTATAAAATTTAATTGTATAATCATTATGTATTGCGATTTGTGAGTTATTTTTATTTTTATAATTAAGATTTTTCGGCATGATTTTGGGATTTATAATTTTAAAGAAATGTATTTATAACACTTTTTCTATTATTGTTTTTTGCAATTAGGAGCTTCCCTATAAAAGGGGAACGAATCGTAATGTAAATTAATTCTTTTTTTTTAATCTTACATTTATTTTAATAAAGAGGATCATTAATAAAAAATTATTACTTAATTACTTTGGGTTATTCGTATTAAATTTTTGCTGCACATAACCAACAAAAATAATGGGGGAACGGAAGAGAAAGGTAAAAGAAAAAGGAATTGGGAAGGAGAAGGGAAAGAAAATGTAAAAGAAAAGGAAAAAAAGGGAGAGATGAGAAAGGAATGAAAAGGTAGATGAAAAGGAAAAGAGGAAGATAAGGAAAGAAAAGGGAAAAGTAGATATGGAAAGAATAGGTAAAAGAGAGAGAAAAGGTGAAAGGGAAAGAAAAGGTATAAGGGAAAAAAAATAAAAGCCGAGTGAAAAGAAGGGCAGAAAGTTCCGTTCTAAATCGATAAAATAAAATGGCTAAAAAATATAAAAATGGGAATCTTGCTTTAAAATTAATATTAATAGATGCTAAAGAAGTAGATTCTTGTATTTAAATTAGAGATTTTTTAGTAAGTCGCTAAAAATGAGGAAAATAAGTACTCATTGTGAATATGAGTGTTTACTTCCAAGTATCTATTAATATTATTTTCAATATTGCCTTTATAATTTTTAGAATATATAAGCAAGATTCACAATTTTTAAGGGCTAGAGAGAAAAAACGAGAAGTAAAGAAAAGGGGAGAGGAAAAGAAGATAAAGGGAAATAAAAAGGAAATATGAAGAAAAAGAGAAAAAAGGGGAAGGTAATAAAATTTAAAATCAAAGGAAGGAAAAGAGAAAGAAAAAAGAATATGGAAAAGAAATTAAAAAGGAAAAGAGGAATGCGAAAGAAAAGGGGAAAGGAAAAAAAATGAAAAAAAAGAAAAGTGGTCATGAAATGGAAAAGAGAAGAAAGAGGAAGGTAATAAGAATTAAAAGGGAAAGGAAGGAAAGGAGAAAGAATATGCAAAAGAAATTAAAATGGAAATAAGGAATCGAAAGAAAATGGGAAAGGGAAAAAAATGAAAAGAAAAGAGGTAATGAAAGGGAAAGGAAAAGAGTTGAAAGAGGAAGGTAATAGAAGAAATTAAAAGGTAAAGGAAGGAAAGGAGAAAGAAAAAAGAATTTGAAAAAGAAATTAAGATAAAGGAATGAGAAATAAAAGGGGGAAAAAGGGGGTAATGAAAGGGAAAGGAAAAGAAAGAGTAAGGTTATAAAAGAAATTAAAAGGGCATGCTAGGAAAAGAGAAAGGAGAAGGGAAAGGAAAAGAAAAGAAAGGGAAAATTAATAAAAGGAATTAGAAGGGGAACGAAAGAAAAGAGAAAGAAAAAGGAATATGGAAAGGAAATTAAAAAGGAAAAAGGGAGGGAAAGAAAGTAAGAGGGTAATGAAAGGAAAAAGAAGAGAGGAAAAATAAGTGAAATTAAAAGAGAAAGGAAAAGAGAAAGGAAGTAAGAAAAAGAAAGTAAAAGAGAAAGTAGAAGGGAAAAGAAAATAGATGGAAGGGGTAAATTAAAAGAGAAAGGAAGGAAAGAGAATATCGAATATACTCTATACAAAAATTTAAAACAAACAACTGGATAAAAATTTAATTAAATTTAAACAAAAAAACAAATAGGAGATCGGTTTACTTTTATTGTTATATGGAACCGGGAATATCAATGCAATTACTTTGATGAATAGCCATCGTAATGACTTGTTTAAAACAGAAGGCTTCATTACGATCGCCACTTATTTGGCTTAATTTTCTCCCTCATATTGTGCTAAATTTATGGAATTCCTTAACCAAAAACACCAGGAGTATTGGTGAAAAGTGGGATAAAAATTACGTTAGCGATTTCTGAATTTTTCTTTATTATCAAAATTTCTGCCGAATTGATTGCTGAGGCATTTTCGTTAGATCGCACCAAATATAGGTTCATGTGTAATCCCATCTACTGGAAGACCATGGTATTAGGGTGATAGGGAATTGTAAAATAATTAGGCTCTACTGTATTTGGTATGCTGGCCCATTTAGGATCCTTTTAAGATTAAATTATTTTTGTTTGTATCCTGTGGAAGGTGACCTTTGGAATATCTACATTATAAAAGGGTGCCCATATACTTAAATAACATATTAATATATTACATGCTCCGCCGCCCTAAATTTTCGGTGGCGAGCTTGCGTGGCACAACTTGATCGGCAGCTATACGCATGGAGTTTTGTTGACGTGGAGAGGCGGCGTCGCATAGGTCTACTCGCTTCTCGTTTATAACTCCTTTTCTTTTTTGAGGTTAGCACAAATGACTTAGGAATTAATAGCAATATAAAGGCCGTAAATATTAGCCGAAATCCAAAAATTTAGTCATGCTATTTGCATTAAGACATAATGCCAACCCGCAATTTTTATATTTTCTCCTGAAAAATAAATTTTTTTATCAAATTTCTCGCGCAATTAGAAATTTTGAGCTGAAGGTCTCATTTAAATAATTGGAAAATATCAAAATAATATGGTAAGGAATTATAAATTTCAAAATTTCCAAACATTTTTTGAAAAAAAGGAAGATTTTAGAGATGTTTCATAATTTTATAAAGTTGTGAAAGTTTAGAAATTATGAGGTTTTTTTTTAAGTCATAGCCTTTAAGTAACTTTTAAGAAATTTTTATCAGCTAAATAAATAATTTAAAAAAATAAAATCATAATAAATATTACAATGTTCACCCCGCTACATTGATATCAGCCAGCACACTCTTGATTTAGCTTATATTTTAATTTTCAAAATAACCATATACACAACACCCACTACTCCCGCGACCTATGCCCTATAAATGAATTAATAAATAAAAATGATTCCATGGAATAAAAATGCCAAATCAGAATACAAAATTTTATTATAATAGAAAAATTATTTTTATATACTAGTGATTTATATATTATATTACGTTTTATATCGATATATTACGATTATTCATTATGTGTTTTTTTTTAATGCTTTCGATATTGTATATTGTTTACATTCATAATGTAGTCTTCTAAATTCTTTGATAAATAATATTGATAAAATTTTAAATCTTAATTAATATAAATATATAATATTAAGCTTAATTTTTAGCATTTAAAAGGAAATTATTAACGTTTATAGATTGTCACCTTATACATAAATACTATCATTCACTTAAATTAATAATCATATACATATTTATTTTTTAAATCAATAATCGTCTGCTTATTATTTTTTAAATTAATAATCGTCTGCTTATTTATTTTTTAAATTAATCATCCGCTTATTATTTTTTGTACAATTTTTAAGTTTTTTATATTCAAATGGGTCAAATAAGGCAAGATATCTAAATTCGCAAATCATTAACTAATCTAAGAGAGGAAATTCTGGCAGAAATATGACAACTTATAGCCGTAAGTCTACAATATAAATATACTGAGAATTTCAAGGCTACTCAAAGAAAGAAAGAAAGAAGAAAGAAAGAAAGAAATAAAGAAAGAATCAATGAAGATTAGATATGTCAATGAAGATTATATTCAATAGAGATATTTTTTTCTATAAAGTGAAAAAAAAATTTTGAAATTATAACATATTAATTTGGACTTCAAATATTTAAATTTAAATGTTATTAACCCAGTCCCTTTTTGTTCTCCTGGCGTTTAGAAAAATAGTATAATGCAATTGATATCTATTAAAATGAAAAATTGTTTTTTTATGGAAACACTTTAGTATAAATACATATCATTATTTATTTTTTAATATCTATATTATTCTATACATTATAATTTCTTAATGAAGATAAATAATAATCGTTAAAAAAAATAACTTTTATAAATTACAAAATTTTATTTAAAAAAAAAATTAATAAGGGACAACAATAAGTTTCGTAGTTTAAAAAAAATAAAATCTGGACAATATGACGTATAAAAAGATAAATATTTTGTGGTATCAAAATATTTCCATATTTCTATTGAATTACCCCAAAGGCCTGTTGAGGGATTAGTCTATATATAACCAATTTTTTTTTGATCGATGGATGGAAAACCGAACATTAATATATATTCAGCGTAAATACTTTTAAATTAAATATGGCCACCAACAGTTTAAAAAGTTGTAACTCTATTACAGGAAACGGTGAGCATTAGAAAGATTTTCTCTCAAAAAGTGAAGAAAAAAAAATGAATATAGAAAAGGGTAATTTATTTAAAAACTTTTACTCCTGTAAAACAATAACGAATTAAGATACTAAATTTGTTTTTGTAATTTATTACATTATCACTCTCCAAGAGGCAAAAGCAGCTTTATTTATACATGTCATAAATGACTTGTCATAATCATACTTAATATATATATATAATTGATTAAAAATAATATTGGACAATAACAATACTGATTTATGTAAATTGAGAACTTGTTTTGATGACACAATGCAAAAAAAAATATTTTTAAAATAAAAAATAAAGACGAAAAAGGGATTATCAAATTATTGCGACTCGAAATTATTAATATTTGTTTCGCTTTTTAAAAATTTACATTTTATGGTGTTTTATAAAAAATAAAATATGGTAATTTATTAGGTTTCTTTGAATTTCCCTTAGGTGTTGGAAGGTATAGGTTGAGCAGGTGAGAGCAAAAGGGGAAAATACTTGATGTGAGTTTGCCACTGTGAAGAGACCTGAAAAAACTTCACCCCGTTCCATTCAACCCCGTCAACGATTACTTTAAATATTAGTAGTAATAAAAATATGTTACTTTTTGACAAAGAATATATGAACAATTCAACGTAATAAATGTAAAACAATCGATTATAGACAATCATTAAACTTCAATATCCCTCTGGTAACGTTTAACGTCTCTTCTTCAAAGGACCAGAACTTTTTCTTAGGAAGATTAAATTTTCCTTTGGAATCCCAAATTAAAAGGAACCGACAAAAAAAAATGTTTTTGATTGCCTAAGCCCTCATTACTGATATAAAAGAAGATAATATAAAGAAAAACCTTTCAAAGGATGGGTCAAACTCTTGGTGGAGCAAACTACTAATCTTTGCACGTTGTTTTGGGATAGTATATCCGAGTTTTCATTTATCTTGCTTTTCTTGCCCAAATTTTTGACTTTGTAAATATAAATATATATATAAGTTAGTCGTAAATTATTGTATTTACAATAATAATATTCTTTATGAGGTCATATTCGTAAAAGGTTTACATGATAAATATGTAATTCTTAAACATTCAGTAGTAACGAGAGTGTCTTTTCGCGGCGTTATATAGTGTCCCAATAATAATATCGCGGTGACACCATGTTCGTATTTTAAAAAGTGTCGGGTCCATTACAGGTAAAAATGAAATTTTTGGCCGACCCTCTTCAATTTTTCAAAATTTTAGCCTTGTAAAACATTTATATTTTTGGAGATATTCGGGTTCAAAGTGCCAAAAATAAGGTATTTTTACCATTATCTTCTTTCACTTAATTACAAAACTACATAATTCTAAATAACAAATTTAATATCAAAATCACGTTCAAAGATTCTACATTTAAGATAAAAAAAAATTTTTTTGATTTTTTCAATTTTCTCCCATTTTATTTAATATTTAAGAACTAAAAACAATTTTTGGAAATAATATGACCTTCAATTTTTATAAAAGATTTAGTAGACATTACTAAACTCTTCCTTTATATTTATAAAAAAAATCGGTCTGGAACACGGCAAGCTTCATTCTTAAACCCAAAAAAAATAATTAGACAGTGAAGAAATATTTTCAAGAAAGGGATGTTATAAATTAGTTTTTAATGATTATTATTTTTAACTATTTGGTATAATTTAAAGGTTTATTCATCTTGTAAATGAAAATAACAATAAATCAGTTCAAAAAAACCATTAAAAACTGATTAATGTATAATTTTATACAAAGACACCCCCTTTCGTGAAAATATTTATACACTTTTCATCATTTTTATCGATTTTGAGAAAGCTGGCCGCCTCCCAGGCCAATTTTTTTTCATAAATATAAAGGAAGGATTTAGTAATGTCTATTAAAATATTTTATAAAAAAAATGAAGGTCGTAATATTTTCAAAAAATATGTTTTAGTTCTTATATATTAAATAAAATGGCCAGAAATTGGAAAAATCATTTTAAAAAAATTTTTTTTTAAGTATAATCTTTAAATTTGTTATTTATAAATTTAGTTTTTAAGATATAATTGAATGAAGGAGCATAATGGTAAAAATATGTCATTTTTACCACTGAACCCTTCCGAAAATATAAATGTTAGTAGACTAAAATTTAGGCTATTTAGTTAAATTAACCTTTCTTGGATTACCAAATTTTTAAAAAAAATCGAAGGGGGTGAGTCGAATTGTGGTTGATTTGTCATGGAATGACCCATCATGTTTTTTTAACAAATTTTATTGGTTGATTTAATATACTAAATTTAATTGTTGAGAATTTGGGAAATAGAAAAAAAACTAGATTTTACGAGTTAAGCTTCCTACTTATCTCATAGCATTGAATTAGCCGAGGAGATCAAAATGGCACAGACTGAAGAATTTATTTTTTTAAAAATCTAGCTCAATTAATTGGAATAATGAATTTTATTACTAGAGATCGAGACAAATAGGGTTAGATTTTTATGATTAATATAAATGATTGCTAATATATTATGCTAATAATTTACATGTTTGTTTCTTTTCTTTGATACCGCAACGTAAGGTTAGCAAGTTGTTAGATGTCGGGGCCGATTCCCGACTAACCCTCATGTACTGAAAGCGGGAACCAGCTTTAATGCTCCGCTTGTGTAAACGTTCCTTCCGCTCCATCATCCCCATATTAATATTTTCTAACGAATCGGGACAAGCTTTATCGTGAATAATTTCTGGATTTTTAGGGATTTTGCTATTCAAGTCTTTGTTCCGAATATTTGTTTTGTGGTGGATAACGTTGTCTAATCGTTCTTCTAATTTGTCGAATTGTCTTTCAAATTTTTTGTTGAAATTACTTTCGGGATTATTGCAAGAATTATTAAGTTTTGGTTTTGTTTTGGGATTTTGGTTAGCGTCGAAATTTGTATTACTTGAAGATGGATTTTCGTGAGAATAATACCAATAATCCATGTGGATGTAATTGGGTTGGTGAAAGGTTAATTCTAAAGGCTGAATATTGACACATGTCAGTTTTGGCCTTTGGTAAAAAAAACATTTTTTAATTTCTAGTTAGTAAAAATGATTCAAATATCATCCCCAATTTATATAACTACTAGTTATAATTTTAAATATAAGCATATGTCCAATTTGTAAGCTAGATTTAGTATACGTTCATTCAGCTTCCTTATAAAAATATTTCTTTTTTAGTTATTTGCAATCCTTTCTTCATATTTCGATTCACAAATCTATTTATTATATTCCCCTTAATATTCGTTTTCTTAATTCCTGCAATCTGTCTCAATCTCTCCCTACTGGGCTATTCCAAATACTACCCAGCTAAAATTATTTAGCCTCCATCATTTATTAACTTATATAAACCCCCTTAAAAAACCTTAGAAATTATGAATTATAATAATAGGCATGGCCCATCAGATTATCACTCTCAAGAGTTAAAAAAAATCTCCTTAGACCCCATTCACAATAGGAGGCTAATCTTCGCTTCCTGTATCTCATGCTGAAAGAACATAAAAATTAATAATCACATAAAATATTCGTCAACCTTTTGCTCTCTCCTGTAGAATTTAAAAACGAAATAAATATTTAATAATAACGTACAAGCATTACTTATTATTATTACGATTTGTTGGAGGGGAAAATTGAGTATTCTTCTTAGGGTGATCTTCTAGGTAGCTTCCAGTTGAGGAACTATAATTGTTGAAACTCATTTCGTCGTCCACTAGGAAGAAGTGATCCAAAAAAAAATATATTTAAGAAACATTGATAGTCAAAGTATTTGAGTTGAGAGTAGTGTTGTTAAATGACCCAATTTTAGGTCGATTTTTTAAAAACGACCCGATTAAGATTTTAGCCAAAATAATATTATGTATAAGCCTCGAAATTTTTCAAACATAGGTTTAAACCTTTTTGCCGTCTATCAGCAAAATCTTCGGGCTTACACGATATCATTTTATCTAAAATCTTATTCGGGCCGTTTAACAAAACTAGTTGAGAGATTAATTATATTCAAAAATATTTAGAAATATCATATCCTCTCTTTTTCCTCTATTCTTTCTTCCTAATTTGTGTAACATCTACACGAGAAAAGTATTAAGGGTAGGGCAATTACTCGATAACGACATGATAGGGTTATTGTCGATATTAAAAGATTGGGTTGGGTCCTTTTGCGAACATTTTTTGGACTTTGATATGAGAGATTTGACCACGGAAGCGTTAATCCTATCGTTGAAGACCATTTTGACATCCTTTTTTTTTCATCAGAATATTATTTATTTAAAAAAGAAATTTTATTTACACAAAATTTAATATATTATAGTAATGCTAATGATCAATAAAAATATATAAAATAAGTAAATCGCTACCTTTTCAAGTTCTTAAAAAAAAGAAAGAAAATGAACAATGAACAATGACGGGCTCGAGCACCGTGAAGAATTAATTTTCTACAAGCCCGACCCGGTTCGAAATTTCTTTTGGCCAGCCTGCGGGCAGGGCTGAACCTACCTCTACTTAATATAAAGTATTCCTTCGTTAACAAAATATTTCATCATAAAAACCTTCGTCTTATAAGTTAATTTTTTTTTAAAAAATAAATATATACAAATATAGAAATCGCATTTATAAAGTATCCAAACCTTTTTGAGTTTTCGATTAAGAGTCAGTTCAGGTTTTTTTTTAAGAAACGGTATAAATGGCTATTACTTAATCATATGTTAAAGACCCCTCTCGCGTCCCAGTTATTAACATTTAAACGTGGGAAAATCTACAAATCGGGACCGAGAAAGGTAAAACCCGAGAAATTAGTGCGCACAAATTGAGCATTTCAAATGCTGCGTTGCAAGCGCAAATAAGGCATTTTAAATGCTTTTGTGCATATTGGTAAAATTACAGTATTGCGTTAGCAACCATTTAAAAAAACGCAAATAGGTTTGCTTGTTCATTTACTTTTTTTTTTATTCTTCGCTTTGTAATATTATATACAAATGTAATATAAATAACTTACTTATAACCTAAAAAGGAATATTTAGAACTTATAAGAAATAAGAAGGCAGACGATAATATAATTTTCAAAGACAAATACTTTTTTTTCAAAAATCTTATTTAAAATTTTTGATAAGACGGATATTAATAAAAAAGGCAACCTCAATTTAAAACAAGAGACGCGTTACGTTTTTTTTTATTAAAAAAATTACGGCAAAACGTAAAAGCCTCGATTTGTGTGCACTTATAAAGATATTTATTTATTTTGAAAAAACATTAAAAAATATACGTTTAAGAAGGGAACGAATATTTGCGTCGATTCCGCCAATTCGTGAAAGCTTATTGGAGGAAAAATAAAATGAAACGAAAAAAAAAAATTATTTTTTTTATTTAACAAGAAAATTGATAATTTTTAAAACATATTAACTATTTAATAAAATAATAATTTGAAGAGAAAAAAAACTTACTGATTTTGGTTAAAGTTTAACATGATTTCTCCCAGAGGAACATAGATTCGGCGACTCAAATCGTTTAGGTAATCGAAAATGCGATTGAAAACTATTTCCATTTCTTTTGTAAAAAATAAAACAAAAAAATTATATATAAATATTTAAATCATGAGGGAAAAATAGGATTTTTGCGTGCGCCTCTATACATACCTGAAATTATTTAGCGAGACTTTTTATTTATAAATGTAATAAAATTTATTTTCCTATGCCAATAAAATAGAAAAAATTTTTGCCAATCAAAAAGTAGAAAATTAAAAGCCTAAAGTAGATACAGAAATACATTTCTTTAAAAAAACCAAAAGCATTTCCTAGTGACATGAAGTGACGTTGATTAAAGTAACGCCGTTACTTTTTTTGAGGAAAAGGAAATTCATTCGTTACTTTTTTCAAATAACGAGTAACGTCTTTCTTTAATATTCGAGTCACGGTAGCGTAAAATTTTACAAATATATTATATTTTTGTTTTAAAATATATTTATCAAATAATTAAGGCCGAGTTTATAAATTCAGATCAACCCATCAAAAGGTCTTCGTTTTTTTTTATTTATCAAATTTTATGTTGTTGTTTTGAATAATTTTATCACAGTCAAAGGAATGTTAATCTATTTAGTAATTGAATCAATTAAATGATTTGTGTCCTAATTCAAATTTTTCAACCTCGATGTCCAGTTACCAAATCTTTAGAAAAAACATATGAAAGTTAAAAATATATACTCAGTCGAAATTCTTGTAGAAATAAAAATAAATACAAAATTCGATGAAGATCTGAATGAAGATTTTTGACGATGATTCATTTATAAAAAATTTGAAAATATAAGATCATTTTTTAAAATATTTTTAATAAATCCAATTAAAATTTTAATTTATTAAATATACCCCTCCCCATTCTCTGAGTCAGCTGACTATCTGATCAAAATTGTGAAGATCAATTGTTTTTAAAAGATAAAATAAATTATTACAAACAAAAAAAACACTTATCTTATAATATACTCTTATTTTTGTATAATTTTATTTTTTATATCTATGGGGGGAAAAAATATTTTTAAAAATTTTATATATAATATTTAGCATTTTTTTTAAGTGACACAAAACGCGTTACTTTCTTTTGAATAGCGAATAACGCGTCTTCTTTTACTGTAACTAGTAAAGCGTTATTTTTTTTGAAGTAGCGTTTATAGCATTAGTAAAAACAAAAAATAAAAATTATAGTCAAGACGAAATATTTAATAATTCCTGATTTTTTCCCCTACTTCTTACATTTGCGTAGATCGTTGTGAAATCCTTTTTCGATATCTCTAACTGAATCCTAAGAAGAAGAAGAAAATTCAAAAATCAATATAACAACTTAAACAACATCTCATTTGTTTCCGATAGCCTCCGATACTATTGGTTCATTGGGACCTCAAACTTTAAGACTATTAAAAAACGATTGGTCAAAATATTACGATTAAAACTGGGCGACCCATAAGAGGGATATCAGCCATCATCATAAAAATCTTTACCGAAATTATTATCGTCGGATTTTTCTTGCGTCTTTTCAGATGACTCGATATTGATTTCCGAGCGAAAAAAGGTGTGCCATTTGTCATCACCAAAGTATTCCGAGTATTTGCCGTCGAGCCGACACATCATATCGCAAATCGACGAGAATGAGCAATAATTTTCGAATGATGTGTCTGGAGCTGATAAAAATTATTTTATTTTATATATTTGAAATTCTTTCTCTTTTTTTTTTCCTTCTTTCTTTGGGAGAAGCAAATATGAACAAACTAACATGGTCTATAAAAGGTTTAAAAAATTATAATCCCGAGCGAATAGGTATATAATATTGCTGTTTCTAAGAGATGGTTGTGGTAGGGTGGAGGGGGGGGGGGGGGGGGTATAAACAAATTTACCACTTTACAGCATACCCATTTAAAATACCTTCTTTAAACAAAATAATAAATCTTTATTTATAAACTAAATATGATTTATTTTGATTTACGATATAAGGGCACCAAGGCGAAGGCCAATTTGTTCTGTATTTCTCCGTCCTTACCCCGGAAGCACTCGGTAAAATATCTAATGAACGAATGAAAAGTGCGGTCATTTCCTAAACATACTACAGTGTATGTTGGCATATTCTTATATTCCTCGTTGTAATTGTTGTTATGGTGATGAACGGCTGCAGGATTCAAGGCAGAAACGGCTATTTTTGGCACTTGGGTTCGGCAACTATGCATGTTGTCGTAAACCTTAGAGATAAGGAAATTGAAGAAAGGCTTGATATCGCAAGGGAATGAAAGTTGGAAAGAACACATGTTATTGAGAAGGTACTTTTCGTGAAGTAATTTTGAGCAAGCGATGTCTTTGTCAAGCACAATCCAGACCTTGGAATGATCCGATATTAAATCTTTATTCCTGCCCAAAAGCTGTTCCTCGAACATTTCAACGGTTAGCGTGGATTTTGTTAAAGTATTTTCGTTGAAGGAAGCGTTAGTGGAACATCTGCTCATACCGGCGACAAGATGATTAAGGTGATGAGATGCGCTTATTGGAGTTAATCGTTTGGAAGAGGATGTATTTATCAAGGACTTTTTAGGCGGTGCGGAGGAATACTTTTTTATGGCAAACCGGTTTGTCTTTTTGTCCGTCTTAGTTTGTTCATGCGTTGTCTTATCCTTGGACGCCTCTCTTTCTGGATCGGATAATATTTTTTTGCATCTATCAGAGATCTTTTTGTTAATGTTGTTGTAATTATTTAGTCGGCGATAATCGGATATATCAGTATCGGTTACTGTTTCCTTTTGGCTTACATCAGATTCCGGAGTCAGGAACGAGGGATTTTCATTTTCCTGCTCCTTTTTTGATTTGCCGGTTAAACTTTTATTGCGATCCAAAAATTTATAAGTTGCGCGTTTGTTAGCGGATCGATTTGAATCGTCAATGTCTTCCTTATTATCGTCACTGTAGGAGTCCTTGTTAAATGGGCAAGAAAAGGATTGAGCTAAAGCAGCCGATCCTTTGCTCAAATTCAAAAATTTGTCTTTTCGACGTTTGATTGAAAGCTTTCTACCTTTAATACCGACATCTTTTGTGTCTAAAGGTATTTCGTCGATGTGATCTGTTATACCAGAACTATCTTTGGCGCCTCGAACTCTATGGTCATTGAAGACAACTTTGAGCATGCTATCACAGGCCTCACTTATTTGAGTGCTAGTACCTTTACCCCGTGACTTAAACTCCGTTTTTTTCTTGGCTACCTTAGCTGCTAACTTGATTTTGTCATTGAGCGTCATGGTTCCTGCAGTTTTTGAGTCGGTCATTCCAGCGTCGGCATTGATATCATTAATTATATTAGTTTTAAAATTGGAGGCACCTTTGACGGTTTCAAATAATGGTGGATTAGATTGATTTTCCGACTTTAGTTTAATCGATTTATCAGTGAGAGTTTTCTTGATGATATCCAGCCTGACATCTTGGGGCGAATCATTATTGGTCATCTTGTTGTGCTGATTCTTAAGTCTGTCTACGTCCAAGTCACGTGTTTTGGCTATCTGCAAAGCGGCTAACAAGAATTTAAGATTATTTTTGCTATTAACATTGACGATATTGCTACGTCGATGATGTTTATCATTATCGTTCAGCATTTCTTTGTCTTTGTATTTATGGTTGCCATTTATTAGATTGGGATCGGTATGGGAGTGGCCATAATTATCATTCAAAGGAACACGGTCGTAATTGTTGGTATCGTCATTATTATGGTGATTATGATTTGTATCTAAATTATCGTGACCATTAAAGCGAGATTTGATTTTGGTGACGGTATTACTAGAAGACCCGTTATTTAACAAGGTTTTGGTTGTGGATATATTGTTGGTATTAGAGGGGGAAGAAAAAAACGGGAGCAGCAGGGGCCTTTGTGGTGGCAATGAATGAATGCTAAAATTGTCCATGCGTCGAAAGTCGGAATAACAAGCCGAAGACGAAAAGCGACGGGCAGATGCACCCGAAGAACCTGAGGCGGACGTGAAGGAAGAATCGGACGATCCCGATGAGGTCAACAAAAGGTCGTCCACGTTAAAATCGTCTGCTTCGAGTTGGTACTCATTATAATAATCGTCGAATTCATCGATATCTTCTGCCATTAACTCTTTTTTTTTCGATTCACCACTAAAAAAAAATTGGTTAAAGGTTAAGAATTATTAATAAATATATCTCACCCATTGGAAAATAACTCCCCATTCTTCCGCGTGATAATCCGCTGATCCATTTCGATGAGTCTAGAAGAACCACGCCTATTATGATGTACCCCTTTGCGCAATATCATATTCATCAGCCGCTTTTCCAGGTCTTTGATATCGAATTCTTTCCTAAAATTTAAATTCCAAAATCATTATTTGGAAGAAGAATGGCGGGAGACGCTTCAAGCGAACTCATAAGAAAATACAAAAATAAAATTCTTCCAAGTTATTTTGTATATCCAACCAATAAATATGAAATAAAGAACCATATTATTGTAAAAGGGAAAAGGGGTTATTTTTTTAAAAAATAAATAATTGAAATTGAAAAAGTAAAATATAAATCTACCTGCCTTCCCTGATATTATTTGTCAGGACATTATTGTAGGTGCTAGAACCGGAAGGGTCATCTACAATCAACGAGGGATCCAGAACTTTCAATTCCTTAAAAAAAATGTTATCAGTATTTTTATCATTTATTTATCAATTATGGAATTTATTAATCCCTTCTACTCCCCCCTTAAATTGATTAATTTTTCCTTAAACTTCGCCTAATAAATATGATGATTTAAATTACGATGTTTGGAAGGATATTATTAATAGACGTGTAAGAATAAAAAATAAATCTCTTCAAATTATCTCACTTATTGTTATTTAATAGTTATGTTTTTTTTTACATCTTCGGAGACTTTTAGTTTTTTCAGCAACCAAACCAGCTTCTTTTTTATATTCCGCGGAATTTGCTACAAAAAATTAATAAATATAACTTGGAAGTGAAAGAAATTAGAATCATATTATTTAAGCTTTAAATGTCAAATACTACATATACAATACCTGATGCTTTCTAAATATGTCATTAACGTTCATATTCTTAAGATGATTCTTGGAAGGGGCCGAATTTTCGTAATTAATATTTTCGTCTTCAAGCTCGCTGCCTCCTTGGTCGGTGGTGGAATATTCTAACCCACTCAAGTCGCTCTTTTCTTCGACTTTGTTTTGATGAATGAAAAGAGAGGGGAAAAAATTTAGCGATAATTAATTTTGAAGATAAAATATGAAGTGCTGATAAAGTTTAAATAAAAATGTATTATTATGACTAAACTGATTTCAACTCCTAAAAACAATTCCTCGTCAACGCCATTGGCATAGTTATCGTTGGCGATAACGTCTTGGCTGATGGAATACAGAAGATTCTCGCTGCTGACCCGCTGCACCCCTATGATGGCAAGCGGAGTTTGACGGTCGTCTCCGAGGAAATTGTTAACGTCTTTTTTGGTCGGAGTCACTTTGGACCACCCGACGACGGGGTAAAGTGGTACATCGCCAGAGAAAGGTTTTTGGTCCGAAACCTTTATTTATTTTAAAAAAGTAACTTGAAGAGTTCCAAAAAAAATGGAATGATGAAAAAAAATATTTAAAAAATTTCCAAAGACACCAACTAATTATGTCGTATTTGCCTATTAAAGATTGAATACTGATGTTCTAGTTCTCCAGCCATATGATTATATTTGTTCATATGATATAATAATTTATTAAATGATTGGCGTGTAACATTTCATTTCTTCCAAAAAAAGAGGGTTCCCTTAAAATCATGAAGACAATTATAGTAAACGAAGGAATGTTTAAGTAAGGCTTCGATTTACGATTTGATAATCTAAGAATAACTAATGATTTATTTGGCAGGAGATTTGTCGCCTTTTTTTTAAATAGTATAAATATCTAATTCTTCACTGCATTAGTTGCGGAATTGTATAAATTAAGATTTTAAAAAAATCTTACTTATAAAAAATTTTTTATAAAAGATTTTAAAATTTAAGCAATTATTTTTTAACGATGTCAAAGGGAAATATTTACATATAATTACTTATTTATATTTATTATTATAATAATGAATAATTTTTAGTTCTATAATAGCTTTAGTTCTGAAATAATAAGCAATACCTACCTTATATTTTAATAAAATATATTAAGTTCAACAGTATCAAACCTTTAGAATATCCAAATTTCAATCGTCATTATATTTAATTGTTTTCTTTTTTTTCCTTTCTCTTTCTATCTTATTTCTTTTTTGACCAAATATTTTCAGTTTCAAATTTAAATTGCAAATAATCAATATCCATTTTTTTAATCCTGAACCCTAGATAATCCAGAAATTGAATTTTGTAAATCTGGCCCGGCCCGTAATAATATTATATTAAAGTGAAAAAGGCGTAAATTTAATTAATTCTAGGGTCTAGGGTTGTATTTTCCCCAAGTTATCGAGCCCCAGCCCCCAAAAAAATAGATCGGCAAATTATTCCGCGCCGACTTCCGGTTTAAATCTATTAATAATTCGCTGTAAATATCATATTATGTTTGTTCCCGGTTTAATTTACTTGAGATAAATTGATGAATGCCGACGCTAGCCGCTTGTAACCCATGATGGTCTTGTTCCTGTATTTCTTGCGGCGCTGGAGCATTATTTGCAACGTATTTGCGTTTCTTTTCACGTAGTGCGAATACTTTTTATCATTTATCCCAAAAAATGGGTGAAAAGTTAATAATAAATGGCGCAGAAGAAGTATTAAATAAAATTGACAAATTAGCACATCTTTCCTCGAATATCGGGACAAACACAATTCAACATCTTACTACATCTATCCTAGCATATTGGGACATATCCGGCATTTTACTTCTTCCATTTATTTTTGATGTAAAAGAGTTTGTTTTGTTTTTGTTAAAATTAAAATTAATGACGAGAATAAAAAAATAAGATATTTAACTATTTCTTGTTGAAACTAATTTTACATTTTAGAACCAAAATCCATTTAAAAAGATTATAATATTTAGAAAGAATCGAGAAGTATTATAAACATAGAACATTTACGGTGACGTAGATTGACTAAACATCAATCATAAAAGCCGAGAAACAATTCTTTTTATTTTATTGCCAAAGGATTGAGGGATTTTCCTAGAAGACCTTTCTTTCTACAAATTTTATTGAAAGGTTTTAGATTGATTTTTTTTGCAGGCCTCTGGTTTTGGTTACAATTATTTATTAAGAATTGGGCTTTTCATTTTAATAGAGCGGGGTAAGAATTAATTGAGTTATTAATGTATTTATGAGGTATCTCGGGGGGGGGGGGGGGAGTACTCTTTTAATCAACATACAGTCAATATATCCATCACTCATCTGGGTGGCATTATTAAATATCAGGAAGGTACCTCAAAAGGGTATACATTATTAGTCAACATATATAGTCAGTATCTATTAGACATGGTCATCCTTATAGCTTACCTTAGTTAGACATTGCCTGCACAAAGAAAACAGCATATCGATTATTACTTATTTTAAAAAAAAATTAAATCCAGTTCGGTATATAAAATGAGGGCTAGAATGAGACGATGATATAAAATATGATCCAAGTCGAAAGAGAATCCTTACTCTATTTTTCAGCGAAATTTTAACTCTTGTCTAGGGGTAGTTCCGGGCTTAGGGGGGTTTAGAGAATGATGCCCTATCTAGGTTATGCCATTAGGCCATATAAACCCAGTATACGAATGGCAATTTCGTCAAGTGGTCAACTTTAAAGAAATTTTTAGGAATTTAGAAAAAAAATATATATTTCAAGCGCATATAAAATGGTTATAAAAACTTCGAACGAGAATTTGAGCGACAGCTGTATATCGGTATTCAAGGGACATCGAGTATTTATTTCGTCCGATCTCAGCACCCGTTTAAAACCCTGTAATCACGCGATAAAAATATAAAAAAATTTCTTATAGCATTACTTTATTTATCTTTTTTTTTAAAAAATAAATGAATATTTCTTTGAAATAAAAGAAGGTTTAAATATATTTAAATCTCAATTAAAATTTAAAAAAGTCAAAAAAAAAATTTTTTGACATTTAAAATTTTATCGCGAAAAATAAAAATAAAATAATTAAATGTCAAACATTTTATTGTCACCAAAATTTTGGACTTTATTTCTTAATATCGTTTTTATAGAGATTTTAAAAAATTTAAAATTCTAAACAAACAAAATATCACAAGATTTTGTGATAAAAAAAAAGGGATTATTTGAAAAATTCTTAATAAAAAAATACTTTTTTTTAAATATTTTTAGTCGAATTAAATTTTTATTTTAAAAAAACTGGAAACTGGTGGAAAAAATTAAGAAAATAAAAAATCATGGTTTCTTAGGTTTGAGTTTTTCAAAAATTAATAAAAATAAGTGAAGGAATAAAAAAAGAAATGAAAAAGAATGAATTAAAGAAAAAGAAAAAAAAAGGAATTTAATTTTAAAAAAAATGAAAAAGGAAAATTAGAAAAGGTTAATCGATGAGTATAAAAAGGTGCGTTTTCGTTAATTAAAACTAAAAATATGATAACATATCAAAGTGCGAATTTAACCTTGGAAAATAGGAAATTATAGATTAAAATCTCGAAACAACAAAACTATTTGCTACTTTTTCATTATTAAAAATAAAAAAAATATGAATATTTTATTTTATATTTTTGCCACAAAAAAAAGAAAAATATTAATAACATTTGGACTAGCTAAAGTGCCAAAATATAAAATGCTTAGTTAGTTAGCTCTCGAAACGTTTAAATTTATCCTATTTTTATTATTTATTTCGATTTTTTTTTAAAAATTATTCTTTCTATTCATTTCAATCCCATCTCTCCGTGCATGCAATCTTTCCATTCCTAATTTCTAGCTTTTACTCAAGGTCACGGAATTTCTTATTAGGCTTTCTTTTTTCAAAAAAACAAAAAAACTATAATTTAATTATAATAAATAAATATTTTCTTCTTTTTTTTTATCTTCCAATTTTAAGAACATTGTCACGTTTTATCCATATTTAAAAATCTTAGTAATAATTTTAAAAATTGAAGGAAAACTTAGTAATGTGACTTCATAAAATAAAAGAAAAAATTTTATCGCATTAAAAAAATAAAGAGGTTTATATATTATATAATTGAATAACATAAATTTTCGATATCGAAATTCGATAATGAACATGGGTGGAAGGAGAAAACATAAAATATTATTAAAAAATAAGTAAGCCTAGGTTAGAGGGGCCAATTGGCCATTTAATCCAAGTCCAGTTTTGATTCGACTCTAAAAAAAATTTTAGGCAACTATTTGGCGCGAATATGACTCACGCGACGGATTTTTTTTTGCACATGCTTCCTTACATGGATCTGGTCGTACCAAAACGCGCGATAAACCCGGACAATGTTATCAGTTTTATATGCGATATAATATAATATCGAGAAATATATATTTATTTATTGCTAAAAAATGTTTATAAAAAATGGGGGTTGGTTGGAGGATCATCGATAATATTTAATATGATTTTCCATCTATTCCCTCGAGGAGATTCTTGTTTTATATATATATTAAAAATCGGATGGGGCTAATTGAGATGGCCTTCTAAAGACGCTGAAATCGGGGCGAACCTTTTTATAACGCGTAAAAATTATGAACGAGCTTGGCTAAATATTAGAAATAGGCACCAAAAAAAAGCGTTCAACAAATTACATTCACCATTATTTTAAATTATTTTTACCAAAAAAAAAATTTATAGTTTTTGTAAAAATGATTATTTTCGAATTCCTTCGAAAATCTAATTAAACTCTCTTTTTTTTTAAGAAACAATAATTCTTAAAATTATATTCCTCCCCGGGGAATGGGGAGTTTTAAAAAAACAAAAATGTCAATTTTTTTATTGGCCAATTAAATCGAGATAAAATGGGGAATGTCCGGCAATGCGAATACGAGTATAAACATTATATTCATTATTTTATAAATAAACTTAGCATTTATGGGTATGCCTTGTCAAGACAATATCTACTTCTTCGAGATATAATACTTGATCAGGCGAATTCTACGATTTAATGGTCATTTTCCTTCTATGCTTAGGCGATGAGAACAATTGTCCGGGGCAAAAAGATCCGAGTAAAAATACCCCAATTTTCAAAAAAAAAAATTAATCGCCTTTAAAAGGCTAACATTTTTATATTTACCCTTTTACAAAATTTTTTTAAAAATTGGTGGATTTTTATCCGGTATTCTTTTGACCAGTGTTGCCAGTGGGTCATTTTGTCCAGGACATTCTTGCCCGTTATTTCGAATTGAATTTTATACTATATTTTTTTTTCTTCTAAGTAACAAAATTAAATGTCAGTTTAAATATTTATTTTTTTGTTATTTAACAAAGGGTTTTAATTATCAGAAGAAGATAATAAAAATAATCATATATAAACAGGTATATATTTTTTTAAATATTCTGATGATTGTATTTCCTTTCCTTTAATTTTAAATCTTATTAGTTTTTTTTAATTATAATAAAAGATCATAACGAATAATATAAATTACTATCATCCGGGAGGAGGGTAATGGGAAAATAAAAATTTTAATATGAATATGGAAGGGTAGGAGGGGGGTGGGGCTATAGTTTTTACAAATAAATATTCTTCCTTTTGTGGGAATGACAAATTCTCGAAAAGAAACCAAAAATGGTGTAAAAATATTAGGAATTTAGAGTGCTGTCCAGTCTAGTGATGTTAAATCGTTCCATTTGAGCCGCCTCTAAAATGATTTAACCGAGATTTTAGCCTCTCCGAAAACAGAGGGTTCGGTTTCAAGGTTCGAAAAATGGAGGATAATAACTTAAATAAGAATATTCATTTGAAGGAATTTAAATTAGGTGAACTATACTTAAAAGCAAAACAAAAAGGTTTAAAAATTGATTAAAGATTTGGGGGATATGGGTAAGGTGATATTAATATATATATTAACCGTTTTTTTAATCATATTTAATTAATTTCCCTGTCAAATCTGGGAGGTCATGCTATTATAATTAGAAATAAATAACAGCATTTGCATATTTTGTGTTCTGCGAGGTCTGGTTAATGTCAAACCTCGCAATTATGGCATGTTCAAAAATTAACATATTATCGATAATATATATACCCCCCCCCCTATCCTATCTGAAAAATAAAAATTTCGGTCCCATGACTTAGATTTCCAGATAACCTTCTTTGGTATTCCCTCAACTGAAGCTCCCTTCTAGTTACGAGCCTGAATATACATTTTATAAAATCGAACTTTTTTTTGTGGGTTAGCTTTAAGTTCTCGGGTTAAATTTCATAAAGGAGGATGGGCTAAGGGTCTTAGTGTTGTTTAAACTACTTAACTTTAGTCGACTATAAAACAGGGTAGCCATATTTTTATCCAAAAATATTCGATCAATCTTCAAGTTGAGACTTGAATAAGCCGTACCATTTGCGCGGCCCAACCCTGATAGGGTGTATAAATTATTTTTCTACGACTTTGGTTTTTTAAAAATAAATATATACCTAATCGGCATTTTAAAGATCGTTTTTTTTCAACGAATAGATGAAATCCATATATAATGACTTTTTCTAAGTGAGTTTGAAATCACTACACTATCTCTTCGACAGGTGGATGGTAATTCCCTTATTTTTCCTTTTGCTCCTGTAAATCTATATAATCTTCGCTCTCTCCCTGGCAACATACTTAATTGCCTGAATTTGGGACAGAGAAAATGAGAGATAAAATGATACACATATAAAATATAATTTTCCCTTTTAAAAAGTATTCTTTATATTTTGATTATTGAGTTATATCTTTGTTGCTTTTAATAATTTGATCGATTTATAATAATGATTAGTCGAATAATTAATTTGAATAATATTTTAAACTATAAATATTTACTAAAAATAGTAATAGGAAACATGATAATTGAATGAATGTGATATATTGTTCTAATGATAGTATGCACACAAATTGAGCGTTTACGCTTTGCCGTAATTTTTTAATTAAAAAAAACGTAACGCTTCCCTTGTTTAAATTGAGGTTGCCTTTTTATTAATATCCGTCGATTCAAATTTTAAATAAGTTCTAAAAAAATGAAGAATTTGTCTTTGAAAATTATATTATCGTCTGCCTTCTTATTTCTTCAATTTCTAAATATTCCTTTTTAGGACATGAGTAAGTTATTTATAGTACATTTTATATAATATTACAAAGCGAAAAATATAAAAAGTAAATGAAAAAGCAAACCTATTTGCGTTTTTTTTAAATGGTTGCTAACGACAAACGGTAATTTTACCAATTTGCAAGAGTTCATTTGAAATGCATTATTTACGCCTGCAAAGCAGCGTTTGAAATACTCAATTTGTGCGCACTAAAATGGAGATTTAAAATATTTTGTGCGCACTAAAATGGAGATTTAAAATATTTTGTGCGCACTAAAATGGAGATTTAAAATATTTTGTGCGCACTAAAATGGAGATTTAAAATATTTTGTGCGCACTAAAATGGAGATTTAAAATATTTTGTGCGCACTAATGCAGATTTAAAATATTTGCCCTAACCCTGATATTTTATTTTAAATTAATCATGATTATTATGTAAACAAGAGCACTAAAATGGAGATTTAAAATATTTGGCCTAACGCTGATATTTTATTTCGAAAAAAAATTTAAGCCAGACCCGGCCCGGGCATAATTTTTTAAAAATATACGGAAGTCTCCGATTTTTATTACTAACTAGCTTGTCAAATGACAGGTCACGTGATTAAAATTAATCTCCTTCAGTTAAACCATAATCTGGTTCGGTTCGACTAAAAAAAAAGAAAAGAGATAATAATAATGGTTTCAGATTATATATTTTTTTTGACATGAATTATATAATATTAATTAATATTATTTATGGATACTTATTGTAACTATATCTAATTAAATATTTATGTAATAATTTGATGGATTAATAAAATAATGATTTTTTTTTATCAAATTTTCATCATATTTTATTTTATAATGAATAATATTTTATTTTTATTTCAATTCTCGTGTTATATGAAAAATTATAATTTATATTATATTTATTTCTTAGTATTTGAGATAAAGAGCAAACTTAACAATCGATAAATTCAGTTGTGAAAAAAGGATATATTATATAATATTAATTTTTTTTTATATGCGAAAGTGCTTGGCTAGAATATATACTTAAAATAGTTGAAAATAAAAAGATATATCCTCCCTTAGGCGTGACCTATAACTAAGCAAAATGATCCAAAAAATATATGTATTTTTTTCTTTTTTATAGATCTTAACAAATTAATTTGTGTTGAGAAGGTGATCAGCTTAATTTCGCCTTATGAGGGCATAAATGTACCGATTATCGGTAGCCGATAATCATCGTATCAATCATTATCGATGACAAATAAAGAAAGAATGAAGGAAGGAAGACTGGCACACTAGTAATTCGATTTTTTGCGGAATATACAAGTATAATTTATTCATGGTGCGGAAATAAAAATCTATTTAATTTAAACTGCATTTTTTTGGTTCAATCATTAAATTTTTTTCTTTTTTGAATAAATAATTTTTATTATTTATTTTAATATTGTATATATATTTTTTAAAAATAAAAATTGTTTAATATCCGATTTCGTATCTATCTATACTCTATTTTTTAGTATTATTTGATTTTTCGAAAACATCAATAATTCGGGAGTGGAATACAAAAAATAGTAGGGAATGAACTTTGGAAACCATCTTCGTTTTATGACCAGCCATATAATAATAATAAAAAAATAATAATCTATACCTAAAAAAAAATTGATTTTACTTATAAAAAAAATACTAATTAACCAAGTATATAAACTCAAAATTTTTGCAAGAATTATATATTACGACAGAAATTTTAATTTTTTGCAAGGGTGAGTGGTAGTGTTGTTAAACGGCTACCTCAATATTTTAGCCAGAAAAAATATTGTCTAAGCCTAGATATTTCGATAATATATGTCTAAACCCTTGTTCCTTCAATGAGTAAAATCTTAAGGCTTGCATAATATTTTTTTTGTGGATGAAATATTGAGTTGCGGTTTAACAACACTAGTGATTGGGTTCATAAATTAAAATATTATAATTTTGGTAATATTTTAATAAAAAAATTATAAAGCAAAGAAAATCGTAACAACGGTAATGCATAAAATGTATATTAGGTCAAATGGTATAATTTTTTTTATTTTTAACAATCACTAATTGTAAGTTAAGGATAAATATCTAATTATAAATATTTGCTCACCTAAAATTCTACTTTTTTAAAATAAAAAAATCTGATTTAAATTTTTTTTTAAAAAAAAGTTGGATTTAAATCAAAAAAAGAACCGTTCGTTTCTATATCAACTAAAGTGGTATGGTGCATCTTGCCAGGTATTTGATTGATTGGGTTTTCAACGCACCCAATTATCTATTTCTCCGGAAGTAGATCAAGAGGTAGGAATGGAAAGAGTCACCAAAAAGGTATATCTGGAAAATATGTGGGGGATTCTGCGAACGTTAAGGGCGCCGAAAATAGGTGCAGGGTTTTAAAAAAAATCAGAGGCATGTAGTTGGCCGCTTCGTTTAGAGCACTGAAGGCATATCAACTTTCCATCAAATGACAGAGCTTTTAATATATGAGACATCCCAGTCCTTAAGGGATTATCAATTTTTCTTGAGGATTAAGGTTTAGAAATTGCTTCCATCTTTTGAGAAAGAGGAAACACATATTTTAAAAAAATCATTTTGTAGGCATGTTTATCTGGGTGACACTTTTACCCCATTCTTATATAATGCATTCTCAGGCAAAGTAATCAGAGTTTCAGACATGAATATCGATTGAATGGCTAATGAAATTATGGAAAAATGAATAAAGTTTAAACTTTAATTATATGTATATATATATATATATATAAAGTTTAAACTTTAATTATATGTATATATATATATATATATATAAGTTTAAACTTTAATTATATGTATATATATATATTATATAAAGTTAAGATAAGAATTGATTTAAAACTATATTAGCATTAGCCAATAATTTTATGCATATCCCAATAAAAAAAAATTATCGATGTAATCTTTGCCATTATTTACTCATTCCACTTAGATAGCCGTTAGGTTATTAAATAAAACTTTATTTTTCGTCATTTTCTTATAATTGTTTTTTTTCAATCAAATGTTCCCGCCCCCTCTTTACAAAATTAACTTATAGATATTATCGGCAATTTTTTTTCTAGACCTTTTTATATATTAATTTATTCATTAATTCAAATCAGAGACCTGGAGGCCTGACCATAAACTCGGTCCCGGCCGTATTTTAATTTTTTTAAATGCTATTTATCTATTCGATATTTTATATTTTGTCAAAAAAAATATTTTTTTTTATTGTTATATGATATATTTAGCCATTTTTAGTTACATAGCATCGTTATCATAATGACTTTTTTTTACAAAAACATAATGTTCTTTTTTAATCTAATTGAGTTGGATAAAAGATACTATTGAAAAAAAAATCGCTAAAAAGTAATAGATCATGCTAAAAGGCTTCAGTCGATTTTTTCTTCTTTACTCTTTACATTTCAAATTTATTAAAATTAATTTACATTATTTTTTCTTTGTTCGGTTTCTTTAAATTAATTTTTTTTAAGCTTTCTTTTAAAAATTTAAACGACAATTCTGATGGTACAATTATATTTTTTTATAAGGATAAGAGTAGATCTAACGTCCATCCCGGAAGAGAAGGAATGGTCCCTTCGAAATTATAGTCTTTAGGGGTTGCGATCTATCAGAGAAAAAAAAAGTATCATACAATGATAAATATAACTGAATAAATGAGCCTTAAAATGATAATTTATAAAATTTAAAAATATATTATGAATGTATAACCAACAAAATGAGATCAGTCATACGGATCATCGGTAATCGGCAGGCATCAATTTAATTTCGGCGATAATGGGATGGGCCTCGAAAAAGTGGCATCGGGTTAGGTACACGCATAATAATATTAAGAAAAAATTCCCACTTAAAAATTTTAAAAAAAAAGTAACAATCGCTAGAAAATAGGTAATTATTTGTTCATACATATTTTCATAATGAATAATACTATTATTTATATAATTGTAGTGATATGTAAACGTTTATTAAAAAAAAATTATTATTAATAATGGGATGGATGGATGAATTAAAACTTGCCAATATATTTTTTAAAAAGTCCCAATCGTATATTTATCACAAAATTATTAAAAACGAAAAAAAAATTGGCCGTGAACGCTTTTTATTCCTCGTACGTGGGAATAGAGTCAGCGGAATTCCCCAGGAAAATAAAATATGGGTCTTGAGAATTCGACCATCCCTTAAAGGGGAACTTAATCTTGTTCGCGTCATCAAAATACGACGATCAATTTAAAGTTCCTGATAGTGCAGTTATTACATTCATTTGTATCAACCCGGTCATTCCAGTCATTGAGTTTATATAAATGTTTTTTTTTAAGAATTAATTTTGTTTAAATGGCTCGATTTAACCAAAAGAATATAATGTATAAGCCTCGGGATTTCACTAATAAATGTCCAAAACTTTTCTGCCATCCATGAGTGGAATCTCCAGGCTTGCGCTATGTTTTCGGCTAAAATCTTGGGTTAACCCCTTTTAAAAATCGGGCCTTTTAACAACCACTATTGAAGATGGTAAAGATTTTCTTTAAAATAGGCTCGCCCATAATCCGGATATAAAAGTACGAGTCGGTTTATGTCGGGTTTCGGTCAATTATCAGCTGAATATTGGATATTGGCTCGGCTTCTAAACAGCGGAAAATAATCGAGAAGATGATTTTTTTTAAAAAAATTCTAAATTTTTTTTTAAATATTAACCTGTAATTTAATAGCTATTATCACGCCTGTCAGGGCCTCTCCATCTACTTCCAGCGCTTTGAGGATCTTCAAATGATTCACTATCAAAGTACATATCCTTTTTTAAAAAAAATAAAAATTCATGATTATTATTATGCAATTTTTAGTACGAAATGAAATAAAACCCCCCACCATACTAGACGGAGTTTATATAAAAAGTAAAATTAGAAGAAGAAAAAAATGAGTAATAAGAAAAAATAATAAATCTTAAGAGTTCAAAAAATCACTCTGACTTTTTATAAAAGCTAATTTATATATGCAAATAAAGCAATAAAATTCACGATATATGAATGGAAGAGGGAAAAAAAATAAAGACATAGAAGAAAAAAGAATAAAGAGATTAAAAGGGGGGGGGGGGGGGGAATAAATATTTTTGATGGCAAACTCAAAAGCTAAAAGAATAGAATATTTATTTATTTTTGTCTTAAAATCAGCGATAGGCGCAACTTTAGGGAAGGGGCAAAGGAAAATCCTTTCACCCTACCCCTTAGAAAATTTGCCTGTTCTCGTAAATATCATTTTAAAGAGATTTAAAATTGTTTGGTTGGGTATTTTGAAATTACAGACCAAACATAGACCGATTTATGGCAACCCATCAAGCCCCGGGGGATCCGGGACGGGTTCGGACCTCAATTTTGAGTTTTCGATTAAGTCATTGTTAACAAAATTTCCGTTAAAATTGAGTTTAAAATACCATACTCGGGTCCATAACCCTGAGTTTAAGCCCCAATAAAAAATGCAACCCCCCCCCCTCTCCTCTCCACAAAAAAATGTATGCATCTATATAGAGAAACGAGAATTTTTAAGTATAATCTAAGTAAAAAGTTAATATTTTTATAAAATAACGACTATATAAAACCAAATTATAAAATTTATGGGTACCCCACCCCTCCCTTTGGCAAAATCCTGGCTATGTCTTATGAAATCATGCCAAATAAAATTTCTTCCCACTCATTTCCCTTAAATCAATCAATCAATCAATCAAATAATCGACTAAATTTATTTATTTTTTTTTAGTAGGAAAATTAAAAATTCTATTTTGTCATATCGCAGAATTTTTTTTTATAAAAATAGGTTTTTAAAATAAATTAATCATCTAACTTTATAATATTTCTATATTTTCTTTTTCTTCTTTACATTCACTTTTATTTTAATATCTATTTCAATCGATTGTTTTTTCTTTTTTTTCGACCGGGAAAAAAAAATTTTTTCCCATATTTTTTTGACACTCGCAGTATTGTTTATGGCATTTCGCGCCTTTGCCGTCATAGACACAAAAATATTTAATTAATAAAAAAAATAAGTCATGAATAAATCAATATTTTCCTCAAAAAAATTATCTAAATATTAGTGTTGTTAAACGGCTCATTTTGAGGCTATTTTTAAAAAAAAGCTAACTCAATATTTTAGCCAAAGAAATATTTCCAGATTTCGCTAATAGATGTCCAGATCTTTGTGCCATCTTATGAGCAAAATCTTTAGGCTTGAATAATATTTTTTCTGGATAAAATATTGAGTTAGCAGTTTTTAAAATTCAGCTCGAATCGAGCCGTCTTCATATATTCTCATTTAACCGGTTAATCTGCAAAATCGGACCCGTTAAACTCGGTCCATGGGCCGGATTTTTTCCAAAAATTATAACGGGTCGGACAGGATCTGGCCAAAAATTTAACCAGTCGGTTAGGCAATTCATACATTAAAAAAAATAAACTGGCCAAACTTCACAAATCTCTGATTTTTCGTAAAATTTGTTAAGACCAACCCAATGACATATAATGATACCCTAGACAGAAAATGCATTCATTAAAAGTGTACATCAAAGAAAACAGCTGGGGAAGCCATTACCCATATCATTATTAAAAATTTTAAACGAGAGAACAATTTATTCCTATGTCTGACGCAAACTTTGTTAAAGAATTGTCTGATCATCGAGATAATAAGGAAGCAAGTTATCAATTTAATAGTAGTTTTTAACATGGGTTAATAAAATGGCACGTTTGGATCAACCCCGCATTAAATTTTGATATATATATTTTTGGAATTTCAAAGCCAATATTTTGATATATTATTTTTTTGGAATTTCAAAGCCAATATTTTGATAAGTATCATTTTTAAAAAATAATAATAAATTACAATTGTGCTCATCAAATCTTTATATTTTTAAGAGGATTGTCTAACAAAAATATTAAATCTTTAAATAAAATAGTCAATTCACGAAAATAAAAAACAAGCTATTTATTTATGATATAAATCCATTATTTAATATATATATACAAGTCTAAACCTATCACCGGGTTTGAGTTAGAAAATTTCTTCGATAAAAAATTAAAACATCAACGTTCCGGGACCGGCAAAAAAATTTAAAGGGCCGGGTAATTCGTGCATAGAAAATTATCTGTAAATTTATACGTAAAAATATCAGGATGGGTCTTGCAAATCTCTGATCGTAAAATTTTAATAGGTTCCTTGAGCATTAAAATTTTGATATATATATATTTTTTTTTGGAATTTCAAAAGCTAATATTTTGATTTTGACTAATAATATTTGAAAATAAATTACAATATGATAATTCTTTGCATTTTAATATCTGTCTAACTTAAATATAAAATCTATAAATAATATAGCATATTCACATATAAAAATTAAACAATTTATTTATGATATGATCAATGACACATAATAATACCTAGACTGATGATGCATTCATTAAAAGTGTACATCATTGAAAACAGCTGGAGCTACCATTTTGATTACCCATATCTTTTTTAAAAATTTTAAACAAGAGGCCAATTTATTCCTATGTCTGGCGCAAACTTTATTAAAGAATTGCCTGATCATCGAGATAATAAGGAAGTTATCGATTTAATAGTAGTTTTTAACATGAGAATAATTACTATGTGTGTTACATTCAACGACGCTTTCAAATGCAATGCATCGTCAGTCTAGGTATTATTATATGTCATCGGATATATTGCAATTATAAATTAGCAATACATATACAAAAACAATTACAAATTAACAATACAGATACACAATTGATTTAACGATTGTTTTAGGAATAAATAGCCCTAGAGTAGATATAAGAGTCTTAATTGTCATTGAAAAAGATAACCGGATGAGTCATTTTTAAAAAAAGCTAACCGGTCTGGTCCTAATTTTTCAAAATTTCACCGAGCCAGGAAATTTGTAAAAAAAAATGCAAATACAAATCTTTGATACTGGTATATGTCCTATTTTCCCATTGTTTTCCGTTTTATCCCCACACTTTCCCGTAAAATTTCCGCTCCGGTAATTATGCTTTTCCGGGAAATTTACATACCTCGTTTTTAAACCTGAGCTGTGATGATGACAAAATAAATATCGGGGTGGGGGAGGCTGTCTCCAACCTTATTGAACCTAATATCATCGGTTAAAAAACAAATAAACAATAACCATTTTGTATTTTAAATCGTCAAAATGTTTTTTAGCTAATTTGTATTGATTTTTTTCTCAGTTATATATCATATTTTAATAAATTTCATTTGTAATACAATATTTTTAAATTAATTTTTAAAAAAAAATTTTTATTTTAATATACTATTTTAAAAAAAGTTAATTAATATTAATCGACGTTTAAGTGTAGACAAAAATGAGTGTCAAGGTCTCCTTGTAGATATTTTGGTCTTAATGTATGATTTTCAATTTAAAAAATCCATATTTGGTCTAATATTTAGAAATCACTGTTTTTCTGAACAATACTTTTTATATTATTTAGTTTAAATAATTAAATATATTCATTTTCAAGTATAAGGGGATTGAAAATCATTTATTTTGGGTGGGGGATGGGGAGGGGGGGGGGGTAATTGCCCCTCCCACTTCATTGTTTTAAGGTATCAGATAATAAGGCAGAAAAACTTGGTACCAATGTTTATAAGGAAAAATTATGTAAATTTTAAAACATACACAAGAAAAAGGTAATATAAATATTGATTTACATAGCATCTTACATCTCAGTTTTAAATTCTATTGCTAAAAAACATTTTCATTTTCAGAAAAATGAGAAAAGAGTTGCCAAATGGCACACTTGATTATATTTTTTTATTTAATCTGCCAATAATATTTATATTTTATTATAATTAATAGTGACCTGTATGCCTGACCCAAAGACTGGCCACGGTATACAGCTTGAGCAGTATTTTAATTTTTTTAAATATATCCCTAATAATATAAAACTCGGACCATGCTGAAAATTTTTTGGAAAAAAAACAATCCAGCCCTGTCCATGCAAATGGTACCTCTAAAGGTTTTTGCTAATTAATATATGTATATATATATTAATTTACAAAGTAAATTCTTTATATTTTTTAAAATTGTGAGCAAGGACTTAATTTTTGGGTGAACTATAAACATTAAAATAAGAAAGTTATTTAGTGAATAGCAATAAGAAAAAGTAATTTAAACTAATTTGGTATCAGATAACAGTAGTATTGATTAAATTAAATTAACAGGTGGTATTTAATCCTTCTAAGTTGCCTTAAAACCCAGTTTAAACAACAATTATGTTACCATCAAATTAAATTATTTATATAATTTTAAAAAAAACAATCAAATACAGGTAAAAATAGAAAGTTAATTATTAAACTAAACATTAATACCAAAATAAATAAAAAGAAATATTATTACAAAATATAATTCAAGAATGATTTAGATGTTGAATAAAATTTATAACAAAAATATATCATGAATAAAATCTGAAAACATAATAAGGAGTTTTTATTGGATAAACTGCTTAATAATTTAAATAGATATAAATAAAATTCTAAAACATAAATAAACATATTTTATTATAATTCAAACCTGGGAACACAATAGGGATTATTCTTATTAGGCTCAAGAGCAGATAGCAACTTTGTTCGAATATTAGAACTTGAAATTTCTTTCGTGCGCTGAACAATAGTTTTCCCTTTTTCCATTAGTAAAGCTTTTCATTCATAACAACACTATATCGATTTCAGCTGTAAAAGGTATGAATGAATGACGAAACTTTTCCAAATTTAAAATTTTTAATTTATAATAAAATCAAAGTCAAATTTTTAGATTCATGTTTACAATATATATTTTTAATTACAACATTTATATATGAAATTAATTATACTTATGTATCATATGATTGTAAATTAACGATATTACTTTAAACCCTTTTAGATATTTTTTACATTGTATTAATTTGATTTTTCCCCAAAGGTTTGTTTAAAATTATAATCTAGTTTTAAGCATATAGGGGCATCGCTAGCCTTTACAATCTCAGGGGGCTCAACTAAAAACAAATTTATGGGATGCTTCACCCCCCATTCCCCTTATTTGCTGGCCTTAGGCCCGCTTTTGCCCGGCCTTCGGCTGGGTTTTATATTAATATATTATACTTTTTTGAAATTTGTTAACTCTGAACAATTATTCTGAATTTCATATTTTGTCATTTATTATATTATGCAAACAAAATAAGCTGGAATATAAATAATTAAAACATAAAACATTTTTAAAAATAATATTTTTTAATACAAAATCTATTTATTACAGTATAAAATATTTTCGATTGCTGATATAGAAAAAATGCGTCTAAAGAATTACAAGTGATAAAAAAGATTATTTAATTCATACATATGTCTCAATTGATAATGATTTTTAAAAACCACATAATACAATAATATAATTCTTAGCAACTTACATTGACAAAAGGTTATCAAACTTATATAACTCTCTGTTACCATTTTAGACAATGTTTTATAGAATGGACTAATAAGGAAAAATTTATAAGCCTAAACCAAATCAACAATTTTTGAAGAAGAGAGTATAAACGACCAATCCAAATCATAAAACTATATGGTGGGTAGAGCTTCCTTTTAGATGACATTATGGAAGCTAGATAATTAATCTAAAATTATTGTGAGATATTAAATTTCCAAAATATCTTGCATTTTAAATTATATATTAACGACTACACAGTTGACCATTATTGTTTATCTATGGGATTAGAGTAAGATTAAACAAAAAGATTTAAAACTTATTAAATATTAAAAATATTTAACTACAATATAACTGAAAAACTATAATAAATTTATCCTTTATTTACAAAAAAAACTATTAAATAATTCAATGAAACTATTACGTAAAGTTAATATAAATTGTGTAAATTAGATGAATGCGACATACAAAAATTTGCGCTATATAATAACCATTATAATAAAATAATAATCCATGTTTAACATAAAATATGCAACATATGCTCTCAGCCTTTGTAGTAATAATCTTAAATTACATAGCAACACAAGTAATAGAGGTTAATTTGCAGCCCGACTTTTTGGGAAAAAAATCTGAATCCGAACCGAATCTGAACAACGTTTATTAAATTTTCAAAACCCCGAACCGAACCCTTGAATTTTCTTTGAACCCGGGTTCAACCGGGTTTGTGTATTATTGTTTAAATTAATATAAGATATTTGTATAATTGTAAATACAAATATTAATAATTTACTTGACATTTTATAATATTTTCAAATTTCAATTAAGTGAAGTGTTAATAAATTTTAAACAACTTAATTCATTTACTCCATTTTTAAATTTTTTAAAATTTATTGTCAAAGATTCCAAAGTTTAAACAATTAAAATCATTTACGCCATTTATTATAAATTTTTAACTAAGATTATTAATTAGAGGAAAATGAAAGCGAACAAGTTAAAAAAATTATTATAATGGATATTGTTAATTTAAAGAAATACGCCTAAATAAAATTTTTTAAATCTATACATGACTATGCTTTGTATTTTTAACTTTATTTTGCTTATAAATAAAATTAAAATTTGTTTTTTATATCTAATTTATGTCTAGTTTTTTAATTATGATTTTTAAATATAGAATATTTTTTTTATCAATTCAAAAGTTTTTAAACCCAAGCTGAACCCGGATTCAAAAATATTTTTCTGAACCGAACCCGAACCGAACTCATCTATTTTTTAACCTTAAACAACCAGGGCAGATATTTTGCCGGGTTCTCATCCCTGCTAAAAACACGTAAAAAAAGAGAATAAAAGATATCAAATTTATTACGCAGGATGAATAATAAAATGTTTTATTATTAAAACTATTTATAACTAAATAGATGGCGTTAAATACTTAAATGCAATTTGTTACTATATTTATTATCAAAACCATTTATTAGTAAAATTTATTATAATATTAACTGTAATATATTATATAACTGTCAAATACGTCTATAAAAGTGGCATTATATCTAATACTTTATAAACACCTGTATATAGTATATTATAAAATATATGTCTACTTACTTTTTATAAAGAAATCTCTTATACTTATTTGGACTTTGAAATTATTTTTATGAATAGGCATGATAATAAAATTTAAAAATAAATATACAGTTGATTAGTCATTTTGAACTCTGCTAATTACAATATTAAATTTGTTAATTTTCAAATTATATATGATTATATATATTTAATTAGGGTTATATAATAATTTAAATAATAAAAGTCAATTAAACTTCAACTGTTAAAGCTAAATTAATATTTAGTTAGTGATATTAATATTCTATTTTTAATACAGAATTTGATTGCAAGCTGACATAGTGAAAATATAATATATATGTATTAATCTAATCTAATAATTAAAATAAATAAAAATTTAAATAGTCTTATTAATTTCTAAATAATAAAATTAAATCTATATATTACTTTATGGAATTATAAAAGAAATCATTCAGTGGGCAATCAAAAAAATTTATTTTAGTTCAAGTGAATATTAAGGAGCCATTAAAAAAAAATTTTGCTTCAGGGGCCTATTCAAATTTTTCAGGGGGCTCGAGCCCCTGCGCCCCCTAGCGACACCACTGCATATCCTTGATTTTATAATGGTAAGACAACTTATTTAATTTGACTATATGTCCTACTTTCCGCGTGGGAGAGGTGTGACAATATCTCACAATCATAAACTAATCACGTTTATGTAATTTTTTTATTATAATCAAACAATTTTATATCCAGCTAAAAGGCACCCCTGCCTGTTCTCGAAAATATTATTTTTAGTTAATAACTCCCCCCCCCCCTCCACGCATACACAGACCCTATCCCTTTCTCTCATAAATATGTAAACAAGTTATAATGAAAGATGAAAATAAGCAAAACAATAAATTTTTTAATATCGACTCAATATCCTGCAATAGGTGGTTCTAAAAGCCTCCAGTACTTTCTAATAGTACTTTCCCTCTTCATTGGAAAAATCTTTGCTATGTCTTTGATTCAATTTTTTTGTTTTATTATAAATTATTTTTTATTTACATTGGATATTGCTTTAATCTATAATAGAAATTATGTTTTATTTTGTTGAAACAATTTAAATTGATTAATATTTGATATTATTACTAATTTAAAAAAAATATTTATGTTTTTTATAGTGAAATATTATGATATACTGTTGAAACTGTGTAAATACAATGCATTGGTTTGGGGGTAAAGCTAAAAAAAAATTCTGCATTTTATCAAATATTTCGTGTGACTAATTTAATTTATTAATGAATTGTATTATTTTAAGTTTAACTTTTAATAAATAAATATATTAGTATAAATTTTTTTTTACTTTTAAAATTTATTTACTTTAAATACATTATTCTCATTTCTTTCTTTTTTAATTTGTTTTATCCCTTTAGTCTTAAAATATTTCTTTATTATTTCTATTTTCTTTATTTTTATTCAAATCACAAAATTTCCAATAGTCTATTTTCAACGTAAAACATCAAATTTAATAATTTCCATCTCATAAAAGTTTTTGTTTTTTTCCAATAAAACATAAAAATTCATCTCGTATAATATATTTATCAAAAGTCAAAAGTAAAAAAGTAAACAAAAAAAATACCAAGTGTTTGAATATCAATTCTCGATAAAATAACTAATAAATAAAATATATTCTTTTTGATTGACATTTTATAATATATATGTACAAAATAATACAAAACTACAACACGCCCACCCTTCATAGGCCACGTGTTCCATTATCCCTAAATATAATTTCGTATATTCGCTTCATTTTCATAATCTCCAAATCTTCATTTATTTGATATCCTTCCTTCATAATCTTCAAGCCTTTCATTTGTGTCATAGCTCTTGGTCAACATTTCTCCCATATTTCAATCATTTTCTTATCTTCCAACACATCCGGGTTATATGTAACATATATGATAAATATATTTTCAAAATATTATAATCAAAATATATGAATCTAAATATAACTTCTTTCCCAACATAATTACTCAATATTTTGGTCTCAAATGAAATTTGAATTTTCATTTACATTTGTATTATAAAAAAAATGATTTTGTTAACATAATTATACTATACTACATATTATAATAAATTTGTGATCTACGCTATTACTTTGTTATAATTTAATATAATTATGTAAATATAATGTTGTAAAATTTAATAATAATATGTAAATATAATTTTGTGACATGTATATAATATTTTGTTAACATTTGTAAATACAATTTAGTGACATATATACTATATTCTGTTAACATTTGTAAAATAAATTTTGTGACATATATACACTTATTTTCAGAGTTGTACAAAAGATCTTCTTTGAAGATTTTTGAGCGAGATCTAGCTCAAAAATTTGAGCAAGATCTTTGAAGATCGTAAAATTTGAAGATCTTTTATTTATAAAAAAATTTGAGCAACGATCTTAAAAGATATAGATCTTTGAAGATCGTAAAATTTGAAGATCTTTTATTTTTTAAAAATTTTGTGTAACGATCTTCAAAGATCTTCATGATATTTATTTTTTTACCCCTTTATCCAGATGTTTTTCAATTTTATTATACCTCTCCTCCTGCCTTGATGAAAGAAAAAAATAAATTTTTTTAAAAAAAAATATTGACACAGCATGTTTCTAAAATTTTTGATGGCTTTATTATTAGATTGCAAAATATTAAAAAAAGAGTGCCTACAAGAATATTTATTTT